TGGCCTACTAGCACTAGGAAATTGGATGTGATGCAAAAAGTGACACAATTGGGATTAGTAATTCGCAAACAATGCGGATTACTCCTACTGTAAAATGCAATATCAGTAAGTGATGGGAAATTTTATCCCGAATTCCATCCATTCCTCACTTTCTGTAAAGAAAATTGGCATTCCGCCTGCGGCAATCATTCTCTTCCAGAAATGAGGGGTTGTGGGGAAGATAGGAAACGGGAGAGGGGACAGGAGGAAATAAAAAGAGGGCCTAGATGGCTTCCTTTTCCGAGTTATTCCAGAAATAATACCAGTTTCTGGCATTCGTCAGTGCTAAGTTATCGAAACAAATACAGAAAATAATCATTCACATGAGCAATTCTGAGTGTTAATGGCTCCAGCCCGACAGTAGGTGCTTCTTTCCTCCCGATCCCTTCCCCCTTTCCCTCCATGGATCCTGTTTGACCGATTTTCGGTCCTACGATTCCCTGAAAATCGAATTTATGGCAGTTAAAATTCTGCACATGGCGGTACCGCTTTAGCATTAAAACAGTTTGTTGAGGCAATATTTTCTTCTGGTTCAAAAAACGCACATTTTATCTCAGCAATACCCCCCCCCCCTCCCTTTTGTTCTCAAATCCCGAAAATTTGATTTGCGATATAAAATTCTGATGTTTCCAACAGGTAAAACTTGCCTTTTTGTTACTGGCAACATATCGTGCAGCTGCACGAACTGTTTCATTTTCACTTGCCGCAATCAGGCCATGTTGTACTTCTGGTTTTTTCACCGCATCAAAAATTGCTTTCGCTGCACCAAATGCCAATTTACCGCTACTACTGCATGCACCTGGATTTTTTTTTTAATTTATTCAACAAATTATTAAAAAAACAAAAAAACAATTGAGAGCGCGTTAGGAAATTCGATGCGAAAGCAAGTGCAGCAAAAAATATCAAGTTTGAAGAGGGCAACTTTTTCACGACGATGAAGATAACTTCTGTGATAGGGTGATCTTTGATGAGCAAATTATGTCTTAACTCAAATTTGAGTGACTAAATTTAAGACATTATGAGGCAAAAAAGAGAGCGGTCCTCACAAAGGATTGTTTTTACTTCTCGTACGAGTCATCGCCATCATCTAAAAGCTGTCCTCTTCAAACTCGCTATTAACAAAACGCACAAAACTTGGGGAGCCATAAAAAAAGCACTTCCTACATTCACCATATGCAAGGTTTAATGGACAATGAAAACAGCAAAGGTGAAAAAACTTATGAATCCCCAAGCCTTCAAGAAGCAAAACTCCGGATTTTCTTTTTTTTCCCAAAGAAAAAGATTAAAATGCCAAAAATCATGCAGTATTTAATCCTAATGGGATGGGGAGACATCCCAAAATGGCAACAGTGATAGCATTTATTAAAGATAACTATGCCCTAGTAAAGGCTGTCAAAACTGTTTCTATTTTTCAAGAGTTTCTTTAGGATAAGCTAGCACCCGTTTCGATTCTCTGGTATGCGCCAGTACCAATTTATCA